ATTCAGTATAATATTTTGACTAATTTAATTTGATTTCGTCCTTAACAGACTTTAATGTACTATGAGACTGGAGTATGTTATTGTTATAATTAAAATCTGACTATTGTTGTGAACGTGCTGGTAATGTTATAATTTGATTTATCCTGCAATCAGCTTACTATTGTACAAATTGTACAAAAAACAGGTACACAAATAATGTTTTGCTTTATTTGTACTTGTACATATAATTAATGAGTATAAGTAAACGTCATAATTACACACAAAATATTAGTATAAGAGCAAAATATAAAGTAAATACACAAAAGATAAATGACTGTTTATACAGGCAATATTTAAAATACTGATGCAGTGACACATCATGTATTGGCACATCTAATAACACTGTCTAAGAGATCGACTATATTCTGCTACACACTGGATAACATGTGCATGACACAGCTTGAGAAACTGAACCGACTCATATATGTTTGAAAAAATTGTCAGTGGTTTTCGGCCGAATAACATTTGAAACAGGATTTCGTCGTCATACATGCTTAATTCACAGTAAAGCTGCACTGGAAAATTGTCACCTAAAATGTCCCACCAGACTTCGCGCTGTGCATTAGTACTTGGGCAATTGCAACAAGCGTGTACATAAACATCTTTAAAATTCCTTGTACATATATCATATGTATTACTTGTTGTATTTGGTATTTCAGTTAGTAATTTAGTGATTAAAAAGGGAATTTTTAATCTCCTTAAAAGAATTTATTTCTTTATAATTTGTTTACGTTCGAAACGCTTTTCTGGATTTACCTTCATCAAAGCACCGATCATTCATTTATTGTGGAGCTCGTTTTTTTTAAAGAATCGTTTTAATGAAACATCCTCATTCCGATGTTGCTGTCCTGTGTAGACCATGGTAGACTGTGCTTATACGATTACAATGCTGGCACTTTATTTTTTTAACAAGCTTTCACAACCATTTCGGACTTCTTCTGTACAGTCCAATAAATTTCAGAAACTGTTTACACTTGAAACATAGGGAAAATGTTGTTCGTTTTCGGCCAAATAACCAAGTTCAACTATTCTCCTTTTTTCATTCCACGCCTGACAAAATGAAAAACGGGTTTTTTCGGCGACCATTTTAAAACAAGGGGATTTCTTAACGGAATTGCATTAATGGTGATACGATTCCCTGTAATTTCACACTTTATCCTAGTTTTCTATAACTTGGATTTCTACTTTGAAAACAAATTTCATCGGGAAACGGCGTGCATCATAATAGAGAATGTATTGCGAAAAAAAAACCCAACCAAGAATAAATAATCTCCGTCTGTTATAACAGATATAAATAAAGCGTACAAATGCTTACTTGTCAATAGAATAGAACCTTTTATAAAGTATACATTGAGAAGAACGGGAGAAAGATGACGAAGCAATCAATGTCAAATAACGTATTGCATCAAATCTCTCGGCACTCTGCATCTATGCAAAATTACACTAAAAAATAATTAACAAAAATATAAGCAACCTCCAGAAACACGACGGAACCTGCTGCATTGACTGATATCTTGGAACGTTGTTTTGTTCAATAACGTCAGGCACGATAACTCATAGACTCATACCGTAACGTCATTCGGTATCGTGTTACCTAACCAGATACAATACAAAGAGAGAGGGATCATTTCGATCTGTTTACGTGAAAGGAAACCACTCTTGTCACTTATATTTGTTCACATTTAGGTCACAAATAAAAGCAAACCTTTTTAAAATTGAACAACAAATCTTGCCTACATACCAGGTCAGTGCATAAGAATTCATATCCACATAATAACCAATATCTATACTAACGAAGGAGAAGTTTAACATACTTTGACGACTAACATTACTCAATATGGTCAATGTTACAATGTTATAAACTTTAATAAATTTTAGTGTTGATTTGATTCATAATGTTTTTGTTAAGTATCAGTTTCTTTAAAATAAAAAAGACTCCGAAGGGGACGACCATTTTATTTTCTTGGGGAGGATCTGCAGGAAGATTTTGTTAATGAATATCATGGCCTGGTAAGCTGGTAAGACATGGGGAAAAAAGACAATCTTCACCAAGACCGAATGAATATAAATAGTCTGCCCCACAAAATGCAGGAAATATTTGTGTTCAAAAGTGAAATTAAAAAAGCCGTCCTAGCAACAGGTGAAAATGATTATATATAGCGGGAAATATCCTCCTAAACCTACCCAATAGAGTCAAATAGTGATATAAATATTAATAAACTGACGTGTCTTTACATAAACTAAATAATTTAATGTAAATGAAGTATGAAATTTAGATCGGTGCATTCATTTTTATAAGACCAATAATAACCATTTTTATGTTGCGGTTACATAGAACCTTGATTTTGGGGACAAAAAAACAATGCAAATAGAAACCCTTATTCTGTAATGTGGAGCATGGAGCCAACGATAAAATTAGAATGTATCCCTTGAGCCCAGAGACAAGATACCTCAATATTATATCATGTGTCAATCTATCAATGGGTGTTTGGTGGGGTCTTTATCAACTTCAAACTGTGATTCGTAACTCGAAGACACAAATCGGCACAGTTAGTACCCATTAGTCTGAAACCAACCACAAGACTGTATTCTTTATCTCCAATCACACAAAGAAAAAAAAGTAATCGATTTAAACAGTTTTACATATAAATAAAAAGATATGGTTTGAGTGCCAATGAGACAACTCTCCATCCAAGTCACAATGTATAAAAGTTAACAATTATAGGTTAAAGTACGGCCTTCAACACGGAGCCTTGGCTCACACCGAACAGCAAGCTATAAAGAGTCCCAAAATGACTAGTGTAAAACAATTCAAACAGGAAAACCAACGGTCTAATCTATATAAAAAAAGAGAAACGAGAAACATATATGAGCCACATCAACAAACGACAACCACTGAACAACAGGCTCCTGACTTAGGACAGGTGCATACAAATGCAGCGGGTTTAAACGTTTTAACAGGAGCCAACCTTCATCCTAACCTGAGACAGTACTGTAACATTACACCATAAAAAGACACGTCTGGAAAGTGAATTTGTATTACTAAAATAAGAAATTGTAACGACTACAAGAAATATAAATACAACTAGATTTATCAAAATGTCATTTTTAAATAGGAAAAGTTTTGTATGATTATATCATGTGGTTCTTACAAGGTCTGATATATTTTAACTGTACCTCATCTTCATGTGATCTGCAGATTTCCCGTGTGGGTATAGTCATGACAATAGGGCAGATATTTGTTTACATTTCACCGGCATCTGTTTATTCAAAGACGGTACGTAGAACAAAATAGTATGAGACTCCTGATTTGCTGACACAGGGCTGGAAACGTTCATTTTAAAGAGTAACGTATCAATTTAGCTTTTAAATTTTGGAAAAATAAATACAGTCATATTCTACAAACTAGAAAATATAGCAATTAACTATTATAATAATTTTAACTATAAAGCTATTCAAAATTTTAAGTGCAGAAATTGTAAGCTTTCATTATAACTGTATTTAGGTAAACTTTTGCATCATGACCATGTACTTTATTTTGCTGTAATAACACGTTGACATTACTGTAATCTTTTAAAGAAATAAACACTGGTAGCCTATGGACATGCGCTGTTCCACAGTCATGCAGTATTAAACGATGATTGTGAATATATGCCGACTCTATGAGGTATTTATGATGTAGGTGATAGTTTGAAAGTCTACAGAATGCTGATTAACACCATTTTCGACTTCATGTGGAATGAGGTGTTTATCTATTATTGTAAATGGTTTTGGCAGCTATTGTCATCACTGAAAAGATGTATACCTATTCTTACATTTGGGTCTTTAAAAGCTGTATCCAATCAATACACAAGACTGAAAAATCGGATGATTGTTCTCAAACTATGTTATTTTTAATATAGAACAAACATTGCTAATTTAAGATAACGCTCTGTTGACCTGTTTGATATTAAGAAAACTTGTATAAACAGTAAAACATACACAGGGAAAATATATATAAGCTCGTTTGGAAATGTATTTTTTACATTTTTATTTTAGCAGTACTTTGAGGTTGAATTGTTTTCTCGTTAAGCATCTTAAAGAGATAATTTCAAAATCATCAGACAAATAAAATATGTCATCGGGCAATCAAAATCTGCTTGTGTAACTTTGAATGTGTTCTTGAACACCGTATATATGTGCTCTAAATCATCCACATTTAACTTGTGAATAAACTTTGCAGAGAATATCATATATCTGCTATAAAACACTGAATTCTTATAATGACAAAAACATTAAGATTTATCAAAAGACAACTACTGACATTGATACGGACTTTGGACAGGCACATGCGGTGGGTTAATTATTCCCTCTTTCAATCTCAATCAATTGGAATAACCAAATATACAGAGAATAGCAGAAAAACACTAATGCCTAAACCTCTTGCTTTTAATATAGTTATATAAAACCCATCATAAATACATCCTATTTTATTCATTTATCTTTTCAACCAAATTTTAAGAACGAACCTGGTGTTGATAGCAGGGCTTTGATTTTTACAATCTGTACGAGTTAGAGCTTTATATATTGCACAGAGTATATACTTGTATATTGTTAAAGACTGTGTTCCACTCAAAATGTCGGTTGGTGGTTAGGTTGCTATTTCATCGACGTATATCACCTTTTATTCATATTATTAGAATTTATATAATATACTCGAGAGGTATATCAATATTATACAAACAAGTAAAAAAAACATCAATTGTACACACTATTGCTGATGGAAACCATTTGATAACATTTGCAAATTTTACATGTTTGTAACATTTGAATAGAGCGGAAAACAAGAACAAGAATTAATTCATTTGGTATCGAACGTAAATACATAGCTTTTCTTAGGAAAGAATTTTAATTATCGCTCTTTTAGATACTTTTACTCCAAATTCGCATAATCATTTAAAATTATAACGAAAGGCAACTAGTAAACAAATAACAATTTATTATACAAATAATAACTATAAATAATACGTATAACATAACAGGCATTTATCTTTTCTTTGTGGCTTCCGAACATGCAGCATTTGCTGTGTGGAACACACAACTATTTACTGAAGGATCCCAAACTAGTCCGGATGAGCACTGTTGGATAACTTCCCTGCCGGACTGACATTGAATATAAAGTGAACAATTAAATGGATGAGAAAAATATCCATTGTTTTTACCTAAACACGGTAATATATCAGGACAGATGAGTTCATTTCTTGGAAAAATGCATGACGATGTTTCTGGGTCGTATACCAGATTTTTTGCACATGTCAAAACAACACCCGAATTTCCAGAAATGCATTGTATGAATTTTGAACAGTCATCTGGATGAGCATGTAACGTTCCTTCATCAGCTTTGACACATGGCTCTTTCTCATACTCTGGAAATAATTAAATATTATAATTACTGTAATAGGATAGAAAGCATGTCAAACTATGTATGAGAAGTAGTTATACTAGATTGTTATCTTTCATGATAAAACAAGAAATGGTAAAATGGAAAAATTGATGTCATCTTTTTGTCGCAAGGTGAAGCCTCTACTATCTTAACTGTCAAAGTTTAGGTGTAAGTTAAGATATGAAGCAGACCTAATTGTGTCCGTGGTATTGTTTTTAATTTCAAGTAAAATGTGACAGATGCAATCAACATAGTAAACAAACTTTGAACTACGTATTGGGGAAAAAATAGATATATAAGGGAACCTGAAGTTAAAGGATAAGGCTATAGTTGTTTTCAATTAAGCAGTAAGTGTTTCCCGCCAAAAGGTTAAAAGCTCCGTCACGAGGTAGGTAAACCAGCTTTAAACTATAAACTAACTTGATTACGTATTCTTACCCGGTCTCGCAGGATAAATAGGTCGCGTGAGTCGTTTAGTGTGGATCTTTGGTGAGGATGCTGTAGTCGTTGAGTTTATAGAAGGAGTATTTGTTGTCGTCTCTTCAACTGTTTCTTGACCAGGTGGTTTGGGAGGTGCTAGGGCTGGATCCGGGCAAACTACACCCGGTCTGTGCGGTACACATACATTAGAATTAACATCAAAGACTGTATCACCAGCACACGACCTTACCAGTGATGCACTATGTTCACATTGAAAATATTTGTTGCAATCTGTTGGATACGGATAGAACTTCCCGCCACTCATATAACATGGTTCCCATGCAAACACTGTAGAAAAGAAAAGAATGATTGCTGACTAATTGCTCTTGATAATTAGTATACTTTTAAATCTTAAAAAAAAAAAAACTTTACATATTATCATTACACTGTATTTTAAAAATCAAGTGAAATTCCTCCAAAAAATATTGCTTTGAAAAAACGTATAATGAATGATTAAATCATCGGTACCATTATGTTTGCATTTCATTAAGATAGTATAATGTGACTCGTCATGATTTTCAAGACGATGTTACATATCTCGATGACTGACAACTAAACGGGTGTCCTTAATAATGGTATATGCAATTAATTCATGATGCAGTAAAACTCAAAACAACAAAAATATGCATTGATAAACAAAAATTACATGTATGATTTATTTAAAAATAGAACCATTGAAGCTACCTTTTGGATCAGATTGGTGGAATTTATTTAAACTGAATTCATTTTTTCCGTGGTCTGGGTGTTGGCGGTACGACGTTTTCGTTATTGAGATTCTGTGCATCTTGCCATGCAAAGCATACATATAACTTCTCCGTTTTCTCATCGTTGATACTACAAACATGCCTTCATTTCTTTATATAACTAATTTACTATGGGTTACTTACATATATCATCTTCACTCCATCCTTCGTCCCATCGGGTAGTTGTTTTTATATCTGTCACTGGTGTTGTAACAGTACTTTTTAAAACTTGTGTTGTTGTTTCTGTTGTTGTTACTATCGACGAAGTTTCAGTTGTCTGTGATGATGTTGTTGGTAAAGTCGTTTTTAATTTTGTTGTTGCTTTCGTTGTTTCTGATGTTGTTTTCATTTTAGTTGTTGGTTTCCTCGTTGTCGTCGTCGTCGTCGTTGTTGTACTAGTTGTTGTCGTCGTAATTATTTTATTGAAATTCACAGGCGTCCTTTCATGTTCTATTTTAATTTTAGCATTTTCAAGTTCAATTTCAAATTTATCAACGAGTGCTACGTTTGCATTTTGACCATTGTCTTGTACTTTAGGAGCTGATGTTTCTATAACTGATATTATATCTTTCTTTGAAGCAGCATTCTCGATAAAAAATAATGTAAAATTTATGCGTTCATTCCTGAAATATATAATAAAATTCAAAATCAATCCATACAATTTATGGTAATTATGCACAATTGTATTTAAATCTGGGGAAAGAAATAAAACGAAAAATATTGGAATATTGAACTCAATAAAAAGAAAAACAATCGACGTCAAAGCTGTATATGTATAAAAAGGAGGTGTGTGTATTAGGCAGCGATATAACAAAAATTAACAGAACACACACTCAAATAAATCCAAAAGTCAATATACAGTTTTTAACAATTCTCTAAAAACAAATAGTTTTAACAGAACAGATTAAATGATAGACTGATTTCCCAAAATAACATATTTTTACAAAAGTGTCAAAGCCATTTTTTTGACTTACTTTATAGAAACCAGCTCACACCCTCTGTATGTTTTTTGAAAGTGGCTATTTCTGTAGTAATCGTCCATCTGTAAATTAAGGTAAGAGATTATTGTATTTATCTTCAAACTTTAAACAATGAATTTATCTTTATACATTTTATACAATAAATACAAATGATAAAGGGAATTACTAAAAATAATGGACAGTTGAACAGACAACAACCGACTCTGCCGATAAAATAGGATCGGAATGTACATAACCAACAAGTTCAATGATTGTTTGCAAAATAATAAACGCTACACTGACGTAATGCGTTGATGTCAATTAAAAGTGAAGATAAGGGAGGCAAAATGAAAAGTTTAGGGATCCTTATAAAAAAGCAAAATAGTAAAATTCTTCAATCCTTTAAAAGAATGGCGAAAGATACCATAGACAAACTGACAATGTCATGGCAAAACAAGAAAAACGACCAATGGACAAACAATGGTAAATAAAACACAACATGGAAAACTAAAGTATGAGCAACACGAATCCCAGCAAAACTGGGGGTGATCTCAGGTGCTCTGGAAGGGTAAGCGTATCCCGCTCTATATGTGGGGTCTGCAGTATTGCTCATGTAAGTACAAACCCGATGATAAGTCTAATTCGGTAAGTCATATTCGAGGAAAAGAGGGAGGGATTGCAGTTACGACAATTAGAACATATCAGTCGTCACATTTGAAACAGATATTCCATAACCGTCAACCAACTCGTGATGGCGTCCGTAACTTTTCGAAGGTATGATTTAAAAGTTATGTTAATCTTTCATTGGTTGGATAGGATGATAAAGTCTTATCATCTTAAAGCGGAAACCCTTTTTAAGACAAGGTGGCGTCATAAGAATATTTGTCCAAAATATCCATTTCAGAGGTGTTTTTGACCATATTATATATGAACAACAGCAAAAAGTTATTACATGCATATGGTATATACGGATGGTATTTTAACCTCCACTAAAATGTGTCACAACATAGCATTCATTTTGTAAAATTATTATTTCGTTAAACAATAACTTTATTGATCATAAAATTGTTACGTAGAAATTGACCTTTTGGAGAAGATAAGATATCCTGTTAGGGTCTTGTATAATCTCAATAAGTTTTAATATTTTAATCATTTCTTGTGACTATACAAATCTTTTCTCATGTCAAAGGCTCGTCAATATTGGTCCCCGATCTAGTTGGGTTTTTTTCTTTTTTTTTAATCGCAGTAGATAGATAGAAATGAACATTTTCTCGGCTTTTTTATACAACGTAAACTTTTATTTTGATAATAAACAAACTTGACGAGGCTTTAATTGGATTAACTTTAAGGATATTGACTATTGATTTTGAGGCAATTGTTTTCCTTCAGGTCCTAATGAAATTCCTGTTAAAGTTAGTCAGCCATGTTTGGTGTAGCTCTTTTACTTTTGCAGTTATATAGAACCAAAGGACCAACATTAAACAACTGCATAGAACCCTTTTCTCTCTCTCTCTCAAGTCCTTTTGATAAGTGATAAATATAGCAATATGGTTTGTGTAACTCTTATAGTTTCCAAACTATAAAGGGTAGAAACGACCACTTCATATGATATATAGAATTAAATAATCATGTCCTACCCAGCGTAATTATTTGTCAACAGATCCTTATGATATATTCTTTCATGCAAGCTGGACATTTTGTCCAGATGAAATATTGTTAAATATCGATTGGTTGCCAATATTCTGTTCGGTGCATTTCTAACTGATACAACGGGAGTACTATTAAAGGATGGTATTTCCAATTTCCTCCGATCGTCACAACATCAAATGCGACTTATCACAAGATTTTTTACTTGCAATGAGCAACAAGATGGATGCCACTAGTAGAACAAGAACTGATTACCGTTACAAAACATCGAGTTTATTTTCTGGTTTTTCTGGTATTCGTGTTGCTCGATTTTTTCGTTTTTTGTGCAGCGTTTTGTGAACTGTTGTTTTGTCTTTTTGTCGTTTTCTGTTAGTGATGTTCTCTGTTTCTTATGGATTGTTAATCATGACTTATAACAAGGTTTTTGATTGTCACCTTGGTATATTTTCCCTTGTTTTACTGGCAAACATTTAAAGTGACATTGTACAGCGTTCTAAATGTTCGTGTTTTTGGTTGTATACTTTATTAAATAACCAATAATAATAAAAACGTATTTCTTAAACATATTTCTTTACCTGCTGACAGTAAGCTAAAGCTAGCATTTTGAAGTCAGACGGTGTAAGTTCGTCTAGACTTTTACCAAGTCTGTTATTCTTAATTTTCATGTTTAAACTGGCACGTAACATTTCTGAAAATAAAAAAAGCATAAATAACATCTTTACATCTTCCATGCTAGGTCAGCTTTAGGATATTGTAAAGCGTATAATGTCTTTACTCAGTGAACTAAAGTTTTATATTTAATATAATAATTATTGCTTAACATTACGTACACGCACAATATAGGATATAAGTGTTAGCATCATCGGGTACGCTCGAGGGAAAAATGCATGGAATCTTGATACATGAAATCAGAACAAAAAGGATCTAAACATAACAGTCATATTCGTTTTATGGTCAACTTTGCATAATGGAGTTGGAATTTAAGTGTTAATTCAATTACATAATTTATGAACTGAAAAGTTACAATAAAATGATTCATTTGAATCAAACCAATACAAAAATGAGAGGCTAACGATTGACCACCACTAGCGGGTCTGAGGTCATTATACAAACATAGATCAATCTCAGTCGGCACATGATTTTAGTTATCGAATCAACTTATTAGCGAGATATAGGCAGCCAATTTGGTGCTATGAAACTTGCAAGACACACATCATGAATGCCATTAAATAGTTTTCTAATTTCATTTCGTCAAGTACCATTTATAAGCGTTTGAAAAATATGTCTTTTATTAACGTTAAATGCAGGTGCTTCATTACATTTTGCAGTGTAGTTCTTTGACAAACTTTCGAGCACAATATTTGGATACTTTTTTCTTGCACAGAAGTAATATACTAAAGTTTGGAAAACTATTTCAGTTAAAATTAAAAAATAAGTTAAAAAAGCTGTGCAAATTTATCAGGGTTATAACTTTTCAAGCAAGTCTTCCTGGTTAATCACCACTCTTCGCCACTACTGTGTTATTTTGTGTTATTTTATTTTTTCTTCTCATCTTGTCATGTGTGTTTATGTTATGTTATAACTTTTGATGAATTTCTTTGTACCATTGTAACTATATGGTGTTTGAGAAATAAAGATTCTTGAATCTTGAATCTTGAGTTTATACTTCAAAAAGAACAACCAACGATTATATTCCGTTGTCACTTTCTTATATATGCAAAACACGTATGAACAACACCCATTTCAACATCATAATAAGATGACACTATAGACATGAATATAAATTATAACTGGAAATTCATGAGCAAGGTCAGAAAAATTAAAATAATTAATTTCAACAACTGTAATGTAATTTATATTATAATTAAGTTTGTACAGTCATGGAATTTTAAAATACCATGCACTATATATACTATGAAACGTGGCATTTAATTGGTCAAGTTATTTCCTGTTGGTGTAAAAAACATGGTGGTAGTTTTGTTTTATCGAATGTAAATTTCAAATTACTGATTAGTAAGTATCAGTTATGCCAACAAATTTTACCATGAAAACAATACAAACTTCGTACAAAGTTTGCAAAACAAAACAAAACGATATCTCTCGCCCCTTGTCTTTGAATAATATTATTCCACTGCTCTATACTTCAAGAATGCCAATAACACTACGAGTACTAATCATGGTAAAATCCAGGTATTTACCGTTAGGCATACTTATAATAGACGCGACTTCGTAAATTTGAATATGTTGATGTAGTTAAGCTTATTTTGTGATATTGACCTTGTAGACAGACATTCCAATGTTATTCTTAGTACACCCTCTGTGTGAGGGCGACACCAATTTCAATTATCATTAATATCCTTCAAGGGATGGCATTCAAAATTTCTGAACCGGATACGACTTGCACAAGCAGACCGACGGGAAGATATATAGACTAAGAGTGATTCCTGTACACTCAGACGGAAATGACTTTACAGAAAGTTGAATGCCATTGAACCATACAACAATATTTGAAAACAAACATTTCTATAATTAGATAACAATATAAATCACAATCAGTCGTTTTGTCTTCCGCCCTTATTAGTATGCCATCAAATCAGGTTGAATGGGCAGTTTGGTAGTAGGACTCTCTGTTACAGCCAGATTAGTCACGACTTTCTGGATTTTTTTGTTTTTAGTGCTTTTCAACTATGTTATTGAATTGGCCTTCCTATTGTTTTGATTTGAGCGCCACTGATGAGTCTTATGTAGATGAATCGCGAGTCTGGCGTACTATATTATAAACCCGGTATCTTGATGAGTTGTTTATACAGAAAACAACTGATGATTTAATCTCGAACAAACACTGTATCTACAAGAAAGCTTGAGTGACGAACGAACCGTCATTGGTGAAAATAGCATGGGTACCAGTATGCGCTTTAACAAGAACTTAAAATCATATTTATTATCTAAGGAAACATACCTATTTCAGTATCTTGGTTCTCTGAAGAAAAAAAATAACAGTATTTTAATAGTTTAAAAATCAAAAATTCCCTCCTTTCATAATATTATGATTGCATTTTCGAAATTTAACAGATATATAGAACTGAATATCAATAACACTCATGTATAATATAAAAATAAGGAGATGTAGTATAATTAACAAGGAGACAACTATCCACAAAAGTTCAAATGAAGTGGATATAAGCAATTACAGGCAACCTTACGGCCTTCAACAATGAGAAAAATCCATACCGTATAGTCGGCTAAAAAAGGCATGCTTTTTCCTGTAATTTTTTTTATCAAAGTTCCATTAAAAATTAAATGTAATTTAGTGCTAATAATGCGTTTTTTCATTAAATCGTCTACCCACCTCACCCTACTCAGCAGCATCATTATCATAAAACACAAATCATTTATTTGTCAATTTATGTAAATAACGTTTTGCAAACATTCAAGTACAAAGTATAATAAATTAAAGACTTACTTTTGAGCTCTACAGCAAAGTAAATAGCAGCACCTAAACTTGCAGCTAAAATGAGCAAAAGTAAAATCCCAAATATAGGACCTAAAGTTTTCTTCACCTTTCTACTAAAAGGTTCAGGGACTGGTTGAATAAAAGCAAACGGATCAAACCTCTCGTCAGAAAGTCTGTCCGTTCGGAACTGAGTTGAGCTACTTCTCGATTGTTTAGATTGTGCACTTTGATTACTTTTAACACTGATTTCACTTTGAAGGCTAGCTGTAGATCTAGCTCTTGAAGGCGGTCTTTGGGGACTATTTTTATACTGGTCTTTCCTTTGATAAGGTGAGTCCCGTTTACCTCGGTCAGTAGGACCTTTGGCTATTTTATTATTGTTTTGAATGGTTGTCTTTGAAGCTTCGCTGCCACGTCGACTTGTTGCTTGCGACCCTTTACTAACACGGCTTCGCTCGCTTCGATCATCTTCTGTAGATTCTTGTCGTGTGTGATTCGGATGAAGTTTATTTCGTCCTACTTTTTGTCTTGGGGATTCAAATTCAGATAGTTCACTTAAAGAGGTAGTACTATAACCGGAAGTTTCATCAACAGCTCTTCGTCGCCTACGTTTCTTATGTTTCTTTTGTTCGTCTGCTATGGTACATTCAGACTGAATGGTTCGAATTCGTGGAATGATTTGACTGCTGGACAAATTGTCGGTGGATTCACATTCTGCACTATATGACCGGCTGTGATGTATTGGTGTTTGCTGAAAGGAAACAAGAAAAGGGTTTATGTATTGAAAGTTCAGTTAATACACGTAAATTGCATTTTTAAACCAATATATAATAGCGTTGATTACTTAGAGAACATTATAGGTATACATTTACATGATCCTGTACAAAAGGTTTTGTAAATGATTTGTTAGAAGGTTCCCAATTAACATTTTTAATGCTTTTTGTATGTTTGTCAAGAGAATAAATGCAGTTTTGAAATGTTTTACATTGCTTTTAATTTGTTTTTACGATTATGTATAATTTATTAAAAAGTTGAAAGATTAAGACATTTTACGCAAGTGTACATTTGTGATGTTTAGAATAATATACCCGGATTTCCTTCAGTTTTCGAACCTAAACATATACACAGCAAGTCACGTGGTATTTGTCAACCTTCAGTCACAATAACCTTCCATCTGCATTATTTTTTGTTAAGTTTCGTGAAATATCTGATTGTTTTCAATTTTTTTTAAAATTCCTTAACAAAGGATAGTAACAAACATTCACTGAAAATGTAAATAGTACAACTATGTACATATAGTAAAAACTACAACATCCATATGGATAGTTGTCTCATTGGCAATCATACCACATCTCCTTATTTTTATTTATATTATTAAATTAAGAGTATGTGGTTGATTGCAAATGAGACACTTATCCACCAGAGCCTAAATAAAGTAGATTTAAGCAACCATAGGTCACCGAACAGCCTTCAACAATGAAGCCCCGATATGACAAATTGTGAAAAAATACAAACACAAAAAAAGTACAACGGCCTAATCTATGTACACAATAATAAACTAAAATGACAACATGATAACATGTATGATAAACAGCAAACACCTATGTTCTATCATGGAAGTATTGTATTGTTGTAATACCTTCATTGTTTTTATGAATACAATAGCAAATAAATTCAAACATTTCGAAAATTGAAAATATGTTAATTTATATTAAAGTTATCATAACTTACAATCATCTATGTATATGAAAGAAACACGTCTTTGTATTATGAACACGGAATTTATATTTCTTAATTGATTCATTAGCTTGTACATCGGGAGATAGAAGGTTATTGTTAACTTATGTAGATGCTTCAACCAAAGTTATTATTAGTAAAATTTCAAGTTGAATTTTTCGAACTACGGTCACCTTCGTGACTTTGTTGATTGTGTAGGAAACACCGTGTCTCAGATGACCTCAAATATGTTCCGTTTGGCGTAGACGCAAGTATGATTTATCAATGAATTTGTAGTGAGAATAACATTACAGATGGTTCATTAGTATCTGGAAATTTGTTTGTCTTTTTTTTTTGTTATCAAGAAACTTTACATTGAATAAAGAAGAAGAAGAAGAAGAAGAAGAAGTCTCTTTTTCATAGTGGTTGTACCTCTTGGACTTGACATTACACGATAAAGTTTTACAGTGTAAAAATGTAATTATTCTATTAAAGCACTATTTCCGTTTTATAAGCTCTGCTTTCTATACATGTAAATAAGACTTCCTAATTTATTAAACTTTTTTTTATATTTAGTTTTATTTGCGTTTTAATGGGGTAGTACAAACCATCAATTTAGGAATTCTTAGGTAATTTCACATACATGTAACAATTATTATTGATTACTTTTACAACCTTGACCTAACCAACTAATGAATATGAATGAAATTTCGGAAAAAGTTGTTAAAAAAAAGTACAACATTGGTACTGAATATTTAATATCTGTTACTGAAATTGTTGACAGTGCATTTTTTTTTAATTGTTTATGTTATCTATAATTTTGCATTGTATTATAGAGTAGAAATATATATATTTGACTTAGATTAATGGTAATGGTAATGGGTCAATAAGTACGTACATGTATAGGAATGTGCATCTGTGTGTTTACATGTGTTATAATTGTAGACATCATTCTTGACAGATAGAAAATGTCATAGCCTTGTTTTTCCTTTTATAGCTTTAATTATTTACAGGGGACACAAATAAATGTAATTAAGTATACAAACAATAAACAAATTATAATAGAAAACAGACTTATGGTTAATTTAAATGATACATGTTCATCAAGTGTCAACTACTCTCCACGATTATTTCACTACATAAATTATAAATAATTACATATACTTATATGGATGTATATATGTATATATAAATAAAATTTTATTTCATTTTTGTCATAATAAGTGCCACAAAAATACCTGTAATATTAATAATATTTTAGTAACCAGATTAATACTTTTGACTTTTCCATTGTCACGAATCCTTCATATTTTGATTTAGTTACGAATCAGCAATTTCTTGATGTAAACTGGTATAAATGACTTTCGTTTTAATCGCATGCAGAGCAAATTAAAAAAAAAATGACGCCGTTCTTTGTATTAGTTAGAGTATATGAACGACATTTGTTTCTGTTATAAGCTTCATACATAATACATTTTCGAAATCGTTTGTGGAGAACCAATTCACATAACACATTGAAGACAGCCCTGTCTCCAGTAAGATTTAAATTGTTACCATTATAACATTCTTGTTATTATGTGTATCTGTATAAGGTATATTTTCAATAAAACTAAAGTGAAGGTTTTAGTCAAATCCTCGAACATAGTCACACACTACCTTGATTTATCGCTTATTTTGACATGTTTGATAATAGTTTTCTCACGAAATGGTAAAGATATTTGTGGTCAATCAAAAATGACACAATAGTATCGTCTTATAACAGAGCTTTCGTTTAACTAGTTTTCTGAGATCTCAAATGCATCTCGATCAGTAAAATGATACCCGGTGCATGCGCAGCGTAAAAAATAAGTTCTGAAAAAGGAATTAAAGGATATCGATATAACAAACATAAATAATACGAGCACAAGCTAAACAAATCTGATTAATATCATACCAGAGAATGCTCGTAGTAACTGAAAGCCTGCGTATAGTACTTATAAAGTTAAATATCATACTAAAGAATGCTCGCAGTAACCGAAAGCCTGCGTATAGTACTTATACAGTTAAATATCATGCCGTCCTGCTCTCAAATATCAGCGGCTGTACTTCGAAGTAGATTCGTACAGTAACCTAATCAACGGGACAAGGTCTTGTGAATTTCCAAAAATTAGAAAGAAATAGAAAAAAATTATAATATTTATATTCTCTTGTAAAAGGTTTTTTTAGTAATGAAAATATTACGTTCTCTTGTCGTAAAAGTCTTTTTTAGTAAGGGAAATATTACATTCACTGTAATCTGAAACTTCATTGCAAACACACTCTTATTGAACCAGTAGTTAAAAGAAGACAACTGAACATCACCATCAAGGAAAGGTGAATTCATAAGTCAATGACAACGCCTGAAGTAAACAAACTGTTGCCACAGAGAAAAAAATGTCCGTCCTGACCTTTGCCTAACGATTAGTCGACAGAAATTTCCAATTTTTAATAGCATTGAAGGATAAAAGCACATCAAATACATGCATTTGTGTTAACACGTATCCATATCCCACTCCTTTCTACGTTGTAATACCTCAATTGAGGGAATGGATAACAGACCACAACCATTAGAAGGTAGCTTCCCGAACACAAATGAAGCATTTTGATCTTTGTACGGGTTACCAATAAATTTAGAACCGGGAAGTTTATTGAATTTATGCGAAAACAATGAGGATCTGGATGGGGTCCTTCATGTCTGTATTCTTTAATTTTTTATGGCATTATTCTCTATTCTTTATACTTTTTGCCCATTATTCTCTATTCTTTATATTTTAGCACCTCATTATTCTCTATTCTTTATCATTTTGGTCCATTTTCCTCTATTCTTTATATTTTTGCCCATTTTTCTCTATTCTTTATATGTTTGCCCATTATTCTCTATTCTATCACCCCCCATCCACACCCTCATTACTTATACGCTTGAGTAGCAATTTTTTTTATATAAATTTTGTCACAAAAATACAATTAGAGGATATTACACATAATACATCAAATATCTTTTTTTTTAAATATGGCTTTGAACATGTGATTACATGTATATACATATACATTTGTAACTATATTTTGAGAGGTCAGTTTTTACTTCTTCACTATGGAATTCAGATATTTGAACTAAAGTTACTATTAATTGAGATGGATAACATGAATAATTAGAGAATATGTGTAAACGTCAATATTTCAAACTTATTAGTAAATGTAACCGGTAGCAGTTATACCTGCCAGTATCTACATGTAACTGATCAATATAACTCATCTTCAATCCATTTCCTTAAAATATGCGGAATGGCTTAGTATTTTCTTCATTTGAAAACTAATATATGACAAATAAAACATTTAAGTGCTGAGACAGCTACTGTTCTAATTGCTGTTATCCTCCTATGGGTACTGATAAAAATAAATATAACTTTTTGTAGACTTAAATCTATAAAACACTATTAGAAGGCAATGAAACCCACATAATATTTAATCATTCTTTTTACATTAACTCGGGGCAAGAAAATGACACTACAAATTTAACATAGCATAATTTCAAGATTTAAAAGAAATTTATTATCCTTTTTCATTTATTATCTCATAAAACCTTTCTTATGGCTAACTTCCTTGCCTAACTGATGACCTTTGGACATAAGGTGGATCTCAAAATGATTGCTGTAGACTGACAAATCAGATAATACCAATACTTGCTCTTAACCTAATATACATGTAGGTCATGCCCTTTGTTACAGATTAGTATCTGCGATTTGCATGATGATATTTGTAATATTTAAGGCAAATTGAATATGCTACTAGGTAAAATGATGATGTTAATCAAAGTAGATCTGATTTCAATTGGATTGCATTTTGACTAATCAACACGTTATTCATATACCATCGGATTAGAATCAATCTCTGGTATCATTTTTGTAAAGTCATCAGGAACCACAACCTATCACTTTATTTTTCCTTAACAGGCCAAACACTTGGTTGGCCGACTTGGTTGTCTGACTCATTCTTAAATACCTGACTACATATGATCGC